TGACTAAGCTCTTTGTCAAGACCCAGACTGTCTGCAGTCCTTTTTATCATGTCCATTTTGATACAAGACATGGTTTATTTTACTATTCCTTAATTTAATAATAATAATAATAATAATAATAATTTATGCTTTATTAATTCTGCGAGGGGAAATTCGGTTTTATACTCTGTTTAATGAACATGAACACACACACAGGCCGAAACACACACACATGCACAAACAGGATCTTATGGACATGCATTAATGGAGAGGTCTCTGAGTGAGGGGGATGCCCACAGCGAGCACTCCAGAGCAGTTTTGGGGTTCAGTGCCTTGCTCAAGGGCACATCGGCAGTGCAAGGAAGTGGACTGGCTCCTCTCCAGCTACCAGGCCAATTTCCGTACTTGGTCCGTGCTGGGACTTGAGCCGGCAACCCTCTGGTTTTCAACCCAAGTCCCTACAGACTGAGCTACTGCTGCCCCAATTTAATAAGAGATCAGGTGTCTCTTAATTTCCACCGTGTCATCAGTATACAAGAACAGGCCCATCTGGGGCCACTGAGGCCAATGTTAATGTGGGGACAAACAACCGTCTCTGCCACCTTGCCAGACAGGGAGCAGCACACTGAACTGGCAGATTAGACCACCTGGCCCTGCCAGACTGTCAGCCTATTTATACTCAGAGCCAGAATTTACACCAGGAGCAGAGAAACACAGATCCAGACAGAAGCAGCTCACTGTGACACTCCCATGGTGGAGAAAGAAAACACACTATGATGACCTTCTCCCTTTTTTTTCCCTGGAAGGTTTTCTCAGAGTGAACCAATTACAATTTCCTCCGTTACGATGCTCTTTCACCCAGCAGAGAAACTTCTCTATGGTAACATTCCCCCTCCTCCTTAGGGTTGTTGTGATTGCACGTTGCCATGTTGCGGACATGGTAGCTTCAGTGTTTAGCCAGATCTACATCAGTCTTGAAAACTTTCTGCATTCTAACCTTTCTTCATTTTCAAAAGCATCTCCGATATTTATCCTAGTTTCACCATGTTTCTGGTCGTCAAGCTTATTTAAAAAAAAAAATGTTTTTTTAAGTCGAGAAGCATCAGTAGTATCTGAATCAGTTTGCTTGCCCACTTCATCGATGCAATGCCTGTTGGTTCGCTGTGATAACTGGTCTTATATCTGGCAAACTGAGGGGTGCCTAAAACAGCCATGTGGGGTGCCTTAAACTGCCTACCTTCTCTGGTCAAAACAAATACAGACGGAGAAGCAGCACCACTTCTGGCTGAATGGCTTTGAGTAAATGTTGGTATGTTGCATCATTTTTTGTGTCATTTCGGCTCTGTTAACTCTGCTTAATTCTAAAAAGTAGTCATTTACAGTTTTACAGTAAACCAGTCTGCAATTAAACCAGACATGGAGACGTTTGAACTTTAAATCCCCAAAGAACATTTTCTCATAAGTTGCACAGGCGCGTAGGTGGTGGCAGAAGTATTTCATTTCAGAGTGAAATTAATGTGTCACTGTGTTTGACCAATTCTAAAGAAGAGGAGAATTTGAATCACTTAGAAATTATAAATCAGTTCAAAGCCATTATCAGAGTTCATGCAAGTGACAGATTATTTTTTCTGTTTAACTTTAAAACTATGTCCTAACTAACTTTTAAAATTAGCCTCAAACGCAAAAACACATTTTGTTTTCACCTAAATGATAGAAAATCGAACAGCATGTCTCCCGACCAGCATTTCTATCTGTCAAGAATGTTGTATTTAGTTTGTTTACGCCAAACGAAATCCTAAGTGTCAAAAAGCGGTTTACATAACATTTGCATTTAGGTAACAGATAGATGTCATGTTATTGGCAAGATTTTTTTAGGGAGCCTTTTTATAAAATATGTCCAGGAACAGGGCAACGGATGAAAATTTGCCTTTTGGCTAACTCTGGCATATTTATAGAAATGTTTATTAATATGCAATGTCCCTGTAAAATAAAATAAAAATAAATAAATACATTTGCAGTTGTCACTTGTCAGGAGCATTGTTGGGGGAAGCAGCTCCGTAAATTATCCATCAAAAAGTCCAAAAACATCCATCAAATCAATCAATATCAAAGTATGGCTATCAGAGAGTGAGAACTAAAATCATCACTGTACAGGATGAGCTGTTATACAGTATGTGTTGTTGTGGAAGACAGGGCTGGAGTGTGTGTACAGCTGTTTCAGACTAGAAGTCCATATTTTGTAAATACAACAAACAAAACGAAAGTGTTTTCTTCAGGTATTCCATTCAAATGCTCTAATGCTTAGAGTTGAATCAGTGTACAAGTTTAATTAGCTAAGCTGATTAGTCAGTTTTGAGTGACAGCCATACAATCTGATTATTAGTCGATGTGAAAATGTTTTGACTGTTCAAACACTCACATCTGTTCTGCTCTCTATAAGCTGAAAGGTGACTGAGAGTTTACTGCTGATCGTGGAAAACAGGTGTAACTAAGCTGACCGGGTGTCTACCTTGTGTTTGTATCACAAGTTGTATGAGAGAAAGACAGAGCGAGACAGCCTCCCACACAGAGCAAAGGTGAGTTCTAATATTAGTCTGCTGCTGTGAATGACTTGTTTGTTAACATGAGAGGTTAACAATATGCTCCCCAATCTTAAAAAGTATGTTCTTCTGCCTGTGAATCTTTTTCTCTAAATGGAATACGTGGTTTGACTTTTACTGGGTTTATACTTCCCTCAGACACCTCTGAAATGTTCCATCTGACTGGTCATGAAAAACTGGAGTATTGCTTTCGTATGTTAGTTGGAATTTTAATACACTGTTGTTCCATTCAACTGTGATCAATTAAGTTAAAGAAATAGAAACCATATTTTGTCAATCTATTAACCCAATAACTTTATGTACTTCTCTGTTTCAAACAGACGACTTAAAAAGGAGTGGGAATATAAAGTGTACAAGGTCATTTCTGAAGATATAAACCACTTGATTGTAGCCATTATTGGTAAGTTTGAACTAGTGTTGCTCTCACTGGCTTATAAGGACATGCTTTTGCAGGTTGCCAAATACTGAGAACTATTACTCCCCTGAAATACCTAAACACACGCTTTCACCCTCCTACAGTCAAGTATTAAATTGTAGACCTTCAGAACAGACGGGAAATGAAAACAGAAGTATAAAAATGCACAGAGCACTTGACTGAAAATGACTCCTTCAGTATGTTCAATTGTAAATTGACAGTGATTTGTCCTGTTCTGTAAATGTCTGCACTAGGAACTGAATATCAGGTAATATCCTCTCCGTGTCAGACACACAGTGGTGTCTGAGCTGCTCTTAAATGTCAAATAGCTTTTCTGTATAATATAATCAGTGAGAGCTTGACAAATATTCCTCTGGCAAAGTCAGTCTGGTATTGTGTATTGTGTATTGTGTATTGTGTATTGTGTGTGTGTGTGTGTGTGTGTGTGTGTGTGTGTGTGCGTGTGATGGGGAGGGGTGTGCAAGCAGGTCTAAGCAAAAACAGCAAAGGTACTTTGGAAGCCATATTGATGAAGGAGAAAAGGAAAAGTTCATCTACAGCTGGTTTTAAGTGGGAACTCACAAATATAATCCAGTTACAAAAAGATTCTTTGTATTGCAGAAAAAATCCACTAATTGTAAACAGACTTTGTTTCATAAAAAAAAAAAAGTCTGCGTATAAGAGAGAGCAACCAGAATTGCAGACTCCAGCATCTCTACAAATATGTATGATTGTTTGTTTTGGATGAGAACAGAAATTGAACATTGTCATTGGATGGGTGATCATAAAGCTGTCAAAATATGTTATCCCCATAAAACTCTGATTGTCTTGTAGATCATAAGACACACACACACAAAGAAGTATTTTCCTTTTCTAAGAAGGATGCTTGATGCTTAAAAAAGCCTAAAACCTGTGCTTTGTTTCACTGATGCTTGATTTACTGTAAAGGTTTCTAAAGCGAAATAGGTAAAAAAAAAAAAAAAAAAAAAACAGAGGATCAGAGGAAGATCATCCACATGTCAGATGGTCCTCATTAAACTGAAGTCACAGTAGTACAGTCTGTACAGTCAACATGCAAATGAAACCCATATGGACTTCACTGCATGTGCCATGACTAGAAAGTAGTACAGGTAAGGAAGGTTGGGAGAAAACTGTGCTACATGTGCTGACTACAAAAGCAAACTGTACTACCTGTTTATCAGAGTGTCCTTCTGCTCAGTGTAGATTTTTTTTAAAAAACCTTCTGAACATGCAATTTTATAAATAATATTATAATTGCAGGAGATTATGGTGATTCCCAAATTAAACTAAAGGACTTGAGTTTGTATAGCGCTAGTCTTAATCTAGAATACTCAAAGATCATTATGCCATAGAAAAAAACAACACACTGCAGGACATGAAAACAGACATCCATTTGTGAATGTGCCCACAGCACCGCAAGAGAATCTCCTCTAGTCTGGGGAAACTATTTGACATGCAGCCCACATTTCCAGTAGTTAGTAGTTCTGAGGCAACTAGACAATTAGAGGAGGTAGGACTGCTGCTATCAGCTTTTAAAGCTGAAGGCAGAATCGAGTAATACAAGCCTGAGAGGCAAAAAGCACCTAAACTCCTGGGACTAGACAGAACTGAAAGCAAAATACTTTAAGCACTTCTCTCTCGTGAAGTACATCTCAACTTGTGTTGCGCTTCTTCAAGTCTTGTACAGATCATGAAGACATCAAACCTTAGCACTTAGCAGGTGTTTGTGTAGGCACTCTCGGCAGACAGGATTTAGGGTTTTTTTCCTCCTTTTTGCTCAAGCACAAAAAGCTAATTAACAGTGTGTTTCAAAAACTGAACTTAACTTCAAATTTTAACGAACGACAAGCACTTTCCTTCTCCTTGAAGAAATGGTCACTAAACCTTAAGAGTCACATGATAAATAAAAAACTCAGAGGTAGTTTTGGTTCAATGTTTTGTTCAATTTTGAAGAGGATGGATTGACCATGGAGTTGAGATTTTACCTTTTGGACTGTTGCAATCGTCAAACAGATTCTTCTTAGCATCAGGACACTTCGATCTGGCAAAGACGATGTTGCAATTTGCTTCATCTTTAAATCTGTAGAACACAAAGGCAGAAAATGAGGCCAAAATGAACACCACTATAAAACCTAAATATGCCTCAACCGCCATGATTCTCAGTAAGATTAGGAGCTACGTCGCTAACCAAACTTAAAATTGTGGTCTTGAGCCTGATTTACTTTTGATTCTATTACTTTGAAGCTCCAGTTAAAATGCCAGTCTCTATATTCATCAACATATTGTGTGTGCTTATGCTCAGCGTTGCATTATTTCAGTTAAAGTAAGTTTCAAAAATTCATGAGTTCAAATGCAGACATAATGATACTCATCATACATCATACATAATCAGCTCATTTTCAGTCATCAATGATTAGATTAGTACCTACCAGGACAGCATTGAAATAGAGTGCAGAGTTCTTGAATTTCCCCTCTGGGGATCAATAAAGGATTATCATATCTGATTATCTCATTACTTTCTGGGGTTGTACAATCACGCTTCAGACATAAACCGCAGTGTTCACAGTAACACCTTTCAACCACCATGCAAACACTTTGCAGCGAAATAGGAAAACTAAGTGCCTCCCACCGCACTGCTTTACAGAAGTGTGTCCTAAGATAAGCAAAAAAATTACATTCAGTACTGCTTAAAACCAAAGAATGAATATAACACAAAGCTCTATAGATCATTAAAAAGGGTTATTACTGTACATTGCACTGTACTCCTCGCAGGAAATTGATCTATTCAGCGGATTCAAAACACTGCAATGTATTATTCATTTTCCTCCTCAGTGTCCCATTACAGCTGTTACATCACCAAAGAGCAAAGGCTCAACTTGATGTGTTTTGAACAATCACACAAAAAAGCTGCCTCTCCAGGCGTGGATCAAGTCCTAAAAGATTTTTGTTGTGTTAAAATTTTGTGTTGTTCGGTTTATAGAAAAAGAGACTGGTGTCATTTGTGGGTCACAGAAGATTGACTCTCTTAACTGTGGCCTGACATAGTGTGTGTTAGAGGAGGGACAAATACAGCTATATAATGTTTTCCTGACTTGTGTGATACAATCATCGATTGATGGGGCCAAAAAGAAAAGGGAGCAAAGCCAAATAGGATTGTTCCAAAATTCACTTTTTGTTTGAAATGTTTTCAGCTTTCTGTTTGGTTTCAGAGGAGTTTGTGGTCAGCTCAATGATTGCTAGAATAATAAGTTAGATATTAACTTTGAAATATTGAAACGGTAATTGTTGTCAACATTTGAGCAATTCCACTGAAAAGGGTAATCATAATACAAATACTTTGTCCTTCGCAAAATCTCTGACCCTCATGCCCAACCTCATCCTCCTCAGGATCCAGCTCCCACCAGAAGAGAAAGCATTAACAGTAATGACAATCGATGTGGGTCTTAAAAGTATTGGCAGTCCAGGAGCTGCTCTCTGTGCCGTCTTTATTAGTCTGGAAAAAGAGTGCTGGTCTCTAGCCTGCCAGCTCCAAATAGGAGTGCATTGATCAGAAGGTCACGCCAAATGAATGTAGCTCTTTAATTGTCTGTCAATCCTCATTCTTGGTCCAACCGCCGTCATTGGTCTCTCAGGTAAACCAAAGCCACCAATACACTGAGGAGGGTTTAAGACCCAGACAGAAAAAAGATAACAGAGCCAACAGGATATTCTAATATCACAGTGTGTGTAGCTTAAAGGGTAACTAAACCCCAGAGTTTCGGCCAAAGTGGGTTGCAGATGGCACAGCGGTTTGATTAACCCCAATACAGCGAGGCTACAGTCCTACAGTCCTGTTGCTCTTTGACAAGCAGCAATGATACTTGGGACATAAAAGTAGTTTGAAGTAGAAGACTTCTTTCCTCAGGGGTCTCCTGTAGGCCATGACCACAGTGGTCCAGAGCCGAATGGGTTTGAACCGTCCAAAAGCAGCAGGTGCTGGGACGTAGTTTTAATAAGGTTTGGTGATGAAAAGCTGTCACCTGCCTCCAAATCAGCCAATATTCTAATTAAATTGCAGTAGCTGGATCTCAACCTGTAGAAGGCAGTCCACTATACGTAGTTCTAAGACAATATGTGGAATTTAAATACTTTGGACTCAGATCTCGAGATTTGAACCCAAACTGATTAACAACACTTATAATCAATACGTAGGTTTTCAGCTGAAAATAGTGATCTTGGGGTTTAGAATAATATGGTTTGTAAATAAAGTCAGAGTTGACAAAAAAAAAAAAAAAAACTGTTATCAAGCACTGGCTAATTTCATTCATGATGTCGGACTTAAGTGTGTCCCATGTGGCACTCAGAGTATGAGCGAGTCCACTTATCTATTCTTTCAGCCTCTTGGGAAACGTACAGGGTGCTCTCATACTGTCAATTAAGCTCATTTATTTTTGTACCAGAAAGGTAGGTGTTGTAAAACTTACTCAATAAATGTATTTTTAACAACCGTTTGAGTGAAGTGGAACAGGAGGTAACATGAGACCCCTACTTGGAGGTAACTATTATTAAGTCACTATGCCAGCTAAATGTCTTCAACTGCACATTTGCTCTGTCCTGGTTTCTATCCTGGGATTTCACACATAAGAAATGAAAAATATCTTTACAAGAATGCTCTTCATTGATGTAGGAGTGATGTAGAAAGTAGAGCTGGGCACAGACATGACTTCTTTCAGTCAGGATGGAACAACAGATAGATCATTTCCACATTAAAAACACTTTCATGTTGATAAGCTGGTTCAGTCTGAGAGTGATGTACATAGCTTTGTTAACCTGAACGACTCTGAGCTATACTTAGAAAACAAGGTGTGCATTATCAGCTCCTTTACACTTTCTGATGTAACGAATTATGACGTCACAATGATCGATCCAAGCGGGAAAAAAACTTTTTTACTTTTTATCCCAGCTCTAGCAGAAAGACACCAATCAAGAAATCCTAAGTTTCATTTTAAGTTAGTTAAATTGACCAAAGCTTAAGAATCCACATTTGGTTGAAAGAAATAAAAGCACAAAAGACATTACAGGAATACAGTTTTAATCCTTTTGTATCACTAAATTAGTAACGTTGAACACTACTAATACGAATAAAGGTTATTATCATATTTTTAATTGATGACAATTATTGTGCTGAAATAAGCATCTATTCAAACATCCTGTAAAAAGTAACAAACTGACACTCCCTTAATATTTGATGTGAGCAATATGACACTATTATCATTAGAATCAGTTAATAGGACACTGCACGACTACATTTTCTTCATGCAATCATCATCAATTATCAAATCTAAGATCCTTTTAATTTCTTTTAATCAAGGCCTCATTGAGATTAAGTATGCACTACAATAAAAATGAAATAAAATATCAGGTGGAACTCAGTTTTACACGACACTACAAGAAGAATCATTCAATTAAATGTAATGCTATTTTAATAAACTCAAACATGAAATGATGTCATTAATGTGCCCACAGGTTTTATAGTGTCTGGAAGATGTATGATTTTTCTCCTTTAGTCGAGTGACCGTAACAAAGAAGTAGAAGTTTACCTTTACGAAGGGTCTTACTGTAGTTAACGAAAACGAGCACAAAAGAGATACATAAAAAAACATAAGCACCAATCTAAAGCTTTTTGTAAGAACATTACATTTCCAATAATAGACATTTCACTAACACCTTTTTTTTTTTTATTCACTCACTTCGGTGTTTTAAATTAAGCTTATTGATTTGCTGCTATGACATCCCCTCACTGCCTCATCTTATCAGAGTCCAAAAATCCCTCGAGGGGCCGATAAAACATGTCATAATAAGAAATGTCACCTTTCCTCACCCGAAGTGGGACGAAAACAATTTGGTTCAGAACATGGGAAATGTTCTCAACGTGATGCCATCCGCCGAGCTAAGTTTAGTAAGATGGCCTCTGGCAGGTAAGTCTAGTCAGACAGCGCTCGGGCATTTTTAAGCAGCAGACATGAAAAAAAAACACTAAGGCAAGAAAAAAACTCTTAGAAGTGATATGTTGAAATATCTAAGCCCAATTCGATTTTTTTGCCAGTAGCTATGGTTCACTTGCAAAATATCTGACTTGTTTATGATTGACATGCTACATAAAAACAGTCATTTACATGTAATTTTTAATAATATCCCACTGAAGATCCACCCCTGTCTATCTCAATCTGTATACCTCATTAATATTCCTGAACAGGCTTTGAATGACTCTGACATAAGCACTCTGATAATCAAGGACACACACTGTAAATGTGGGCAGACAGACTGCCCACCACTCACAGTAAGGAATATGTTGACCATATGGTGGAGGAAAGTGGTTGTGCTGTTATTCAAATGTATTTTAATAAACTGACTCAGTATAGCAGAAGAAAAACACAAATGTATCCATATGTGAACAAAAATGGGACGTATGGAGGCAGAGTCATTTTACATGTATCATCAATAACTCAAACTGCTGCTCGGACCTTAGGGCCAGAAGTACAAATGTGTACATCACATTATAAATAAGACAGTGACTAGTAGTGAATATGTGTATTACAAAACAGATTTTTTCTCTGCATCTTAATGGGTGAGTCCAAATTAGAGCCCACATCACCCTCCCTTCTGTTGACTCCTCTTTAAGTGTTGCTTGCCCTTCTGTTCAGAGCCAGTTTTATCACTTTCACTTCCCTAACCAAGATTTTCAGTCAATTAAAACAAGCATCCTCCTGTCCCACTGACACCCCGCCTTCCCTTTTTAAAGAGGTCTTGGAGACCATTAGACATCAAATTCAGAGCCATCACTGATTCTGTGAAGAAAAAGCTTTTTAATACTCAATGAAATACTCAAATTACTCAAATTAGAGAATTGATCTGCAAATGAAAATCTGCACACCAGCTAAAGTCTCTATTATTAATCTCTTTTGAAGGAACAAGATCACTTTATGAAAATGCATACTAAATTCTGAATGAAAGACAAACCTAAATGTGTGTGCGTGGTTGGCTTTAAATTTAAGTTTCTTCATGTTATTCAATCTTAGTTCTGATTCAAGCAGCCAGGGTCACCTTACCAAACATCCAAATTTAACTGAACTGACAATTCTGTAATGAAGTGAAGACAAATTCTCTTTTAAAGAAACAAAGATTGTTAGAGCAGTTTGCTATGATAGCATATTGCAATGCTTGAAATTCTATTTTGATTTTATATCATATTATATGGGATACGTTTACAAAACTGAAAGCCTTAGAGAGCTTGACAGGGATAGAGAAAAGTCAGAACAAGCGAACGCTCTCTACTCATTGAAAAAGACGCTGGCGCTCAGAAAAAAAATGCTGGTTGTGGCTAAGTTGTAGATTGAGCAATACATTTGACCGGCATCAAAGGCCAAAATATTAATAATTAGTTTAACCGACAAATGATTCTGGGTGTGAATAGCAAGGGTGATGACATTTAACCGTTTAGTGGACTACACTTCTCTAATTCTACGACATGAAGAAAACACTTTCAATAGATTTCTAAATGTTGAATCAAATCTATGGGGTAAACAACTTTTTAAATGCTTATACATTGTAATATCAATCTGAAAAGTACAAATAGTAAACCAGTAAGCCTCCTCATATTCTACACCTAATCTCCTCAGCAGAGTCTTGGTGTCCATTCGTCTCTGTCCCGAGCCTTCAATAAGTCAAGCACTGATCCATCAACCAGCCAGTAGATCAGGTAACACTGGCATGGCTGCAGTTCTTATTTGTGCAAAGCAAGGTCACAGAACTACGTGGATGCCGGATCAATCAGACAGATTAATGAAGCACAACCTGCTGACATGACGAATATTGACACCCCTATTACATCCTCGTCCTGCAGTCCTCAGCACCACTTCAATAAATCAGGTCCAAGTAGAATGAAGCAGGTAAACTTCTGAACCTAATCCTTCACAGCATAAACAGAATACAAGAGGAGTCTGAATTTAGTAGAGACGGAGATTTCCCTGGAAGTGAACTCCAAAATGTCCTCAGAACTAAACATCACTTTGGCAGCTGTGACTGCAATGCACTTCATCTGAGCTCTACACTCTGCTTAAGATGAAATTCCTCAAAACCTTATATGAAGTAGCAATGCAAGCAACAACACAACAAGGATATGATGAACAATTAATCAGTATTATTTAGTTGATAGATATTTTTGATGGGTATTGTAATTATTGAGAAAAAAATAAACGTGAAAATAGAGAGAATTTAAGTTGCTTAACATAGAAACGCAGCAAACCTTAACATTTAAATGTCTGACATTTTTCAAGCACAAATACTAAACAGTGAGCCTCTCAAATTAAGAAAATTTAAGAAGCAGATAGAAATAACTCCAGTTGCTTCAATACTTAAACCCCCTAAACACTTCTTCTCATTTTCTGCCCAGATTCTGATTGATTCTGACTTGTATGACCTGAACAAATGGCATGCTCCATTTTTAATAAATAGAAGGATTAACCTTTGCCAACAGCGGTGCCTCTTTTAGCAAAAATGTGCAGTCGAGATTGTGTACCTCTGAAGACATGATGATTAGACTCAGGTCGTTAAACATGTAGGACACTGTTCATATTATTGGAATTAGGTTAAGATGAATGACTCAGTAATATCTCCCAAGAAATAAACTTAAAATGAGTGTCTTTAGAAATGCATGAATTTGCAAAAGGTTTCTTTAGTAATGATTGTTAATATTTTCACTTCTATGCCCTCATTAAATTAAATGAATGCTGCCGATCCACAGTGCTAAGACTGTTACCACACTGTGTAGGTACTGTGCTGTTTTTTTTAACAAAAAGGTGGCTGCCAATACGTGGTTCAGATCAGAAAGTATCTAGACCAGGGACGGGCAACTTTGGTCACAGCAAGGAGCCACATTCATTTAACTCTCACTGCCAGGGGGCCAAATTGTAGAATACAAAAATGATTACAGTCAATTATGTCTCAAATATAACTCAACATATACCAGTGATCAAATATTATTATGGACCTATTTCTGGTTTTCACTATTTCATGGCGGATTTTGTCATCTTTTCTTCATGTTTCCAATTAATTGATATGTCAAAATTGACCCGAGGGCCACATTGAGGGCTGATGGGGGCCGCATGTGGCCCCCGGGCCGCCAGTTGCCCACCCCTGATCTAGACCATGCCCACTTGACATGATATACAACAGGGACGGGGCAACTTTGGTCACAGCAAGGAGCCACATTCATTTAATTCTGACTGCCAGGGGGCCAAATTGTAGCACACGAAAACAATTACAGTCTATTATGTCTCAAATTTAACTTCAACATTTACCAGTGAGCAAATATTATTATGGACATATTTCTGGTTTTCATGATCTCATGGCAGATTTTTGTCATGTTTTTCTTCATGTTTCCAATTAATTGATGTGTAAAAATTGACCTGAGGGCCACGTTGAGGGTTGATGGGGGCCGCATGTGGCCCCCGGGCCGCCAGTTGCCCCCCCCCCCCGGTCTACAGTCAGTTTCGTTGTTATCACATTAGGAGCTGAAATGGGCTTCAGCTCTGATACACAACGTTACCTTTCAACCTCAAGTATGTAAACCAAAAAGTGCCTTAATAATAATAATAATGCCTTATGTTATGTAACATTTCAGCAATATAAATCATGTATGAACGTGTCATCTCCTGCTAACTTTGACCAGACTGTCTCACTTTAAACTTCCTGATACTTCAACACACCTCGAGGCTAACGCTAACTGCTGTCGGAAGTTAACACCGGAAAGAGAAGAGGAAATACAAATGTACCTTTCTTAGATGTCGGTCGTCTTTAATGCTCCCTGTGTCGCTGAAACAAGTCCTAAAATCCATTCGAAACTCGGTAGTTTCTCTGTCTGGTGTTCTTACTGAGCGGGTAACCAGGGAAAGCTTCTGGTTAGCAACGAGCCCTGTCAAGTAATGGCGGAGCTAAGTACGGCAAGCCGGAGGCCGACATGTGCCTTTTGTTTACGTTTTTTAGCGATTCAAAATTCGATGTGAGGCTCTAGATCAGTGGTGTCCAAACTTATTTTCTTGCGGGCCACAGGTTTTGTTTTTTAGAATACAGTTGAAAAAATAGTAAGGCTTTGTAGATCAGCTTCAAAAGGCTCGCTAAAGAAACCCTTAAATAAAAGGAAATCAAATATTTTGATATCTTCGTTCTACTTTATTTGGTTTTTTTTTCTCAGAATCAAGCCTGTAACGTGGTTCATTTTTTTTGGAAAAGCTTTCTGCATTTAGCTCAGGTCATTAAATGGCTAAACAACAGTCCGCTTGTTTGCAAAAACTTTGCATAAGTTTTTTTTCATAGTTTACAAAAAAATGTGGAAAATAGTAAAAGCTGTAGATTAAAAAAACAACAACAACATACATGTTACTGAACATTTTCTATTTTAGGAATATTGTTCAGCCCTTGTTAACATGAAAAAGAAAAATAAGATAATGTGCCAATCTTAATCAAGGCCTCGGGCCAAAATCTTCTGATTCTTCAATTGAAGTCACGGGCCGCAAAAAATCCCCTCAAGGGCTGCAAATGGCCCTCGGGCCGCACTTTGGACACCCCTGCTCTAGAACGATACACTGTAGAATATTGAACAAAACCAGAGCATACAACTTACCAGGTTTAATTAATCAACACTGTTTTCTTTTGCTTTCTTTGCAAACTGCCAGATATGTGCAACCAGAAGTAAAAGTTGAAGATGGTCCATGAATTGGTATATCAATGATCATTGGAAGAGGTTGGAACAGTACAAGCAGGTGAATGTAGTCCATGGTTAACGACGCAGACATCTCATTGAGCTAATGGGGAGCTCTTCTTATTCTTTGAGTAGACTAATGAAATAATCACACCTTTGCACAATTGTATTAAATATCCGATGTTTACGAACTGGAATCAACAAATCAAACTGCTGTAAAGTAAAATTGGATTTGTAGCAGCAGCTAAATCAACTTAACATTTTCAACTAAAAAATACTAAGAATTCCAGTTTATATAGTATATTCTGTAACTCAAAATATTTCCATGTGTGAATGTTACTCTGCCATCATGTGACTCAAACCAACTTTAACAACATTTCAACAATGCATGCAGGTATTTTTGTTTGCTGTTTTCCCCCAAGGGTTGAGGTCACCTACAAAAAGAATTTCAATATAAGACTTAAGTAGATAGGTTTGATCAAAGTTGCACAGGTTGTACTTACAAGAGGAAGTTATTCACTGATATTACAAAAGAGAAAAACTACAAATTATATATTCAAGGACTAATATCCAAGATGTCTACTGAATAAAGTCACAAAATGGCATTTTATCATCAGACATTAAGGAAACAAATGTGAAACATAAGTCAACTGCTGGCTTTTCCGTCAACAGTGCAGCAGCCAGTATTTCATCCTTCCAAGTTTTGATTCCGGTCCAGAGTGTTCTGTTTTTTGTTTTGAACAGAGAATCAGTTTGGGGCAGCTTTGGAGGCCCCTTGGTTTGCCAGGCAAACGGCAAACCAACAGGGGTTGTAGCGATGGAAGCGAGCAAGCAAAGTGGCTCAGATATAACTGATTCAGCCTCTGCATTTTTCTAATAAGCTCTACAGCCAGACAAATGGTAAACTAGGATACATTTTGGAGATTCTTTGGTGCAAAGGGGATTCAAGCAGATGTAGAGCTGGTTAAACATTAAGCTGGCAACCTGTGTGCATATAAGCTCTGGTCAGGATAACTGCAGAGACGAAGAAGCATTGACAGTTGCCGGCATTGGAGCCTCTGCCATTGAACCCCGGGGGTGCGCTGGGGCTGACTCAACTGTCACCGGTGCCATAGCAACACCTTATGCGTCATCTGTACCAGGGAATTAAATTAATTGCCGACTTGACCATTACTTTTTCTTGACATTCCATCAACTCTTTCACGTGATGACAAAGAATGTTAATGTGGTAATCTTGTAATGCAATTCTTTGACGCTGGCGGTATGCATCATTTCAGAGTGGCCGGTTCCAGCTTATGGCCAGTATGTTCTGTTACACTGTATCGCAAAAAACATGCAAATTCATTGTCCATTTAATGGCAATCAACATTTGTACAAAGAGAATCCAAAAATTTGCAGGCATAACTATCAAAAATAGAAGGCTAAAGGCTTGGTTAAAAACACAGAAACACTCACATCAGAAAGGCTACGAGAAACAGTAGGGAGAATGTTGGCCTGGAACGCTGACACAAAGTACAAGATGATCTGGCACATAAGGAGGGGCACATAAAGACTACAAACTGCAGGACAGTGGAGAAAACTAGACAGAGGTGAAACACATCAGGTAATCAAAGATGTGGGAGACATATGTGGAAGAAAGGATCAGACCTCAAACAAGACCCAGGGTTAGTAACCTAAAAAAACAGGAAGCACAATAAAAAAATAAAAAAAAAATTCTACAAATATTCTTCAGTCGCTGGTGACTGAAAATATACAAGATACAAAAATTCCTACTATTAACCCATTTTCTTGTGACATGTTTATATAAAGTTCCTCGTATCATAATTAATTGAATACAAAGAGGACCCATGTGTGGAAACCAAAAAAATGTATATTTATTCAAACAAAAAAGGCAAAAACTAATGCTTACGCTTTCAAGTCCAACAAATTGTCCCAACTAAAAAAATCCATAAACTGCAAAAAGCACAATGAGCCAAGAGGAACCTCAAGTATGAAGACATATGAACTGACACAGAAGGAAAGAAACACACAGACTAAATAGAGCGGGTAATCAAACACAGGTGAGGACAATCAAAACTGGAGGAAAACACACAGAGGCAGGAAGAAACACTGAAGACATGATACACTACAAAAACTATAAAAGAAAACAGGAAACAATAGAAACTAAACTCGAGATTATTAACAGATAAATACACAGGAAACAGAGAAACACAAGGATACAATTGACAAAATGAAACAGGAAAGCACAACAAGGAATGAACAAACTTAACAAGAGTAAATCATGACACTCTGTCTTCACCTAAGTTTCAGGATTTGTGTTGCTTAGTTTGTTCTAAACTGAAAAAACTGAAACAGCTCAAGGCTGATGGTTATTATTATTATTATTATTATTATTATTGTTAATAATAATAATAATAATAATAATAATAATAACAATACATTTTATTTAAAGGCGCCTTTCAAACTCTCAAGGTCACCTTACAAAGAAGAGAAAAAACAAAAAAATAACAACACAACGATAAAATTAACATTAAAAACACAAATGTACAGGATGTAAAGGAGTTATGAGACGTGGAGAATGATCAGACTGAATATGCCAGTTTAAAAATATGTGTTTTGAGATGAGATTTGAAAATGGAGAGAGAGTTGATATTACGGATTTGTGGTGGGAGGGAGTTCCAGAGGTGGAGGGCAGAGCGGCTGAAGGCCCTGGACCCCATGGTGGACAGGCGGGCGGGTGGTGCAGTGAGTTGAATGGAAGAAGAAGACCTGAGAGTGTGGGTAGGTGTGTTGATGTGCAGGAGTTCAGAGAGGTAAAGCGGAGCGAGGTGTGGATGGCCTTGAAGGTGAGGAGCAGAATTTTGAAGGTGATGCGATGTTTAACCGGGAGCCAATGAAGTTGCTGTAGGACAGGGGTGATGTGATTAACAGAGGGCGTTCTGGTGATGATGCGAGCGGCAGAGTTCTGGACCAGTTGAAGTTTGTGGATGGACTTGAGAGGGAGACCAAAGAGAAGGGAGTTGCAGTAGTCAATGCGGGATGTAACCAGGTTGTTGACGAGGATGGCAGTACTGTTGGGAGTGAGGGACGGGCGGAGGCGATTAATGTTACGTAGATGGAAATAAGCAGACCCGGTGACATTATTGATGTGAGCTTGACACCCAGACTCTTAACCTGAGGGGAGGGAGAAACTGAGGAGTGGTCAATAGCCAGAAAAAACTGTTGAGTTTAGGGATTGTTGATTTGGTGCCGATGAGGAGAAGCTCGGTTTTGTCACTGTTTAATTTGAGGAAGTTGCAGGTAAACCAGGATTTGACTTCTTGCAGGCAATCAGTCAGGGAAGTGGGCGGGAGGGAGGAGGTGGGTTTGGTAGATAGGTAGTGCTGGGTGTCATCCGCATAGCAATGGAACTGGATGTTATACTTACAGAAGATATGGCCAAGAGGAAGGAGATAGATGATGAACAGAAGGGGGCCCAGGACAGAACCCTGAGGAACACCGGTAGTGACTGGAAATGGCTGGGATTTGAAGGTTCCAAGTTGCGTGAACTGAGTGCGACCAGAGAGATAGGATGAAAACCAGTGCAAGGGTGTGTCAGTGATTCCAATGGAGGCAAGTCTGTCAAGGAGTGTGTGATGGGAGATGGTGTCGAAGGCTGCACTTAGATCAAGGAGGATGAGGATGGTTAGAAGTCCAGAGTCAGCTGCCATGAGTAGGTCATTAGTGATTTTTACCAGTGCTGTCTCTGTGCTATGGAGGGGGCGGAAACCATACTGGAACTATTCATAGAGGTTATTGTCAGACAAATGAGTGTGAACCTGAGATGCAACTGTTTTTTCAAGAATTTGGAAAGGAAGGGTAGATTAGAAATACAACGAAAGTTATTGAAGTCATTGGGGTCTGCACCAGGTTTCTTAAGTATAGGGGTTATTGACGCTGACTTGAAAGAAATGAGAACAAGACCAGAGGTGAGGGAGGGTCTAATGGACAGGTAGACTGTTTTGATTTCCGAATTAGGTCAGATATTTCAACAACAGAAGGAAGTTTGAAACTTGAAAGTGAGCGATAGAGAGGAGGTAAGAAGACTAGGAGAGATGAGATGTTAGGAGTCAGTTGCTGGAGAATCTTGTTTACTTTGGCAGTGAAAAATGACATTAAAAAGTTACAATAGGCGGTGGAATACAGATGAGAAGCAAGAGAGTCCGGTCATATAATGCAAACTTGTGC